CAGCCTTGCACCTCAGAGACCTGAAGTAACCACAGAGGATGGTCTGAGATTAAAATTTTTTAACTAAAAGCAGTTTATGACAGGTAGTCATGTCTTACGCTGGCATCTTCCCTGAAAACAGGTCAATCTGTACTTTAACTGAGCCTGTCTAGTGTCTTTTTGCATCTACGATAACATATCTTTGGAATGTCAAAGTAGTTTTCCTGTTTCCGGACCCCTCAAAGCACAGGCACCAATTTTCAGAAACCACAAATTTTCTCACTGTTACTGAGTTAATTGCTGACTGTTAACTATTCTATACCCATTATGTAAAAGATGTATGTATCATTCTACTTTTCATCCAATCCCAGAGGTTTCCCTGCTTGCTTCCTCCCACCTCCCTAATCTCTCACCAATAGAATTCATGCAACTCACTTATGTTTTTTCTTTTGATTGTAATGTTTAAAATAAAATGCAAAACTGACATTCTCTGGGACATTATCTCAATCCACTGAGGTTTTGCTTCCTGACAACTGTTGACAGTTTGGCTCAAATAAACTCACAAAACTTTTCTATAAGTTTGAATGTTTCCTCCATTGGTGACTGAAGAGGGTCGTAGTTACTAAAGGTTGGGCTGGTGTGGCAAATTCTTAATATAACAGTAAAGTGGTCTGGTCTTCCTTTCACAGAAGACTCTTGCTAGTATGAAATGTTGTTTGATAGCATTTTCCCCACAGTAAAACCTCTTTCAAAATTGTGGTCAGTGTTCTCAAACCCCACTGCTACTTCACACACTAAGTTTATGTAGTATTCTAATTCCTTTGCTGTCATTTCAATAAAATTCAAAGCATCTGCCCTGGCCGGTTTGGCTCAGCGGTTAGAGCGTCGGCCTGCGGTCCAGAGAGACCCGGGTTCAGTTCCCGCTAAGGGCACGTACCTCGGTTGCAGTTTGTCCCCGGCCCTGGTCGGTCGTGCGGGTGGCAGCCACTCGATGTGTTCCTTTCACATCGATGTTTCTCTCTCTCTCTCTGTTCCTCTCTCTCCCTCCCACTCTACCTGAACAAAAAATGGAAAAATGTCCTCGCGTGAGGATAAAAAAAAAAAAAATTCACAGCATCTTCACAAGAGTAGATTCTATTTCAAGAAATCACTTTTTTGATCATTCAAAGGAAGTACGTCCTCATGCATAGAAGTTTTATCATGAGATTGCAGCAATTCAGTCACATTCTCAGTCTCCACTTTGAATTCTATTTCTCTTGCTATTTCCACCATGTCTGCAGTTACTCCTCCATTGAAGTCTTCACCCCTCAAAGTCATCCGTGTGAGTAGGAATCAACTTCTTCAAAATTCCTGTTAATGTTGACAGTTTAATATATTCCCATGAATCATGAACGGTGAATCCTTTCCGAAATGGTTTCAACTTACATTGTCCTGATCCATCAGAGTAATAATGATCTATGACAGCTACAGCCTTATGAATGTATTTCTAAAGTAATAAGACCTGAAAGTCAAATGTACTCCTGAAACACAAGCTGCACAATGGTGGTTGTGTTAGCAGCCGTGAGGACATTAATCTCATCGTACATCTCCATCAGAGCTCTTCAGTGACCAGGTGCATTGTCAATGAGCAGTGATATTTTGAAAGACATCTTACTTTCTATGCAGTAGGTCTCAACAGAGGGCTTAAAATATTCAGTAAACAATGTTATAAACAGATGTTCTGTCACCCGGGCTTTGTTGTTCTGTTTATAGAGCACAGGCAGAGTAGATTTAGCATGATTCATGAGGGCCTTAGGATTTTTGGAATGTGAATGAGCATGGACTTCAACCTATAGACAGAGCTGCATTAGCTTCTAAGGTGAGAGTCAGTCTGTCATTTGAATCACTGGAGCCAGACACTGACTTTTCTTCTCTATTTGAAATTCTTAGATGGCATCTTCTTCCAACATAAGGTTGTTTTACCTCCACGGACAGTCTGTTGTTCAGTAGCACCATCTTCATTAACCGTCTTAGATCAACCTCCAGGTAACTGGCTGCTGCTTCCGCCTCAGTACTCGCTGCTCCCCCTGCATGCTCATGTTATGGGCATGGCTTCTCTCCTTAAATCTCATTGGTCAGCCTCTACGAGCTGAGACTTACTTTCTAGTGGATTCCTCCTGTCTTAGTTATAGGACAGAAGACAACTGGAGCCTCCCTCTGAATTAGACTTGGGCTTAGAAATGTAGTGGCTGCTTTATCTTCTCTTCATCTCTTCATGCCACTCACACATTTTTCATGTAAGCAGTAAGGCTGTTTCACATTCTGGTCATTGGTGTGGTCACTGGACGAGCATTTTTAATTTCCTTCAAGAGCTTTTCCTTTGCCCTCACAGCCTGGCTAACTGTTTGGCATGGGAGGCCCAGCTTTCAACCTACCTTCGCTGGCAAAATGCCTTCCCTACGAAGCTTAATAGTTTCTAGCTTTTGATTTAAAGGGAAAGATGTGTGACTGTTCTTTTCATTTGAACACTTACAGGCTATTGTAGGGTTATTCGTTTGCATATTTTCAATATTTTGTGTCTCAGGGACTGGGGACGCTTGACAGCCAGTTGGGTAGAACAGCAAGAATAATATTCATCAATTCAGTTTGCCATCTTATGTGGACAAGGTTTGTGGTGCTCCCAAACAATTATAATAGTAACTTCAAAGATCACTGATCACAAATCGCCATAATAAATATAATGATAAATAAGTTTGAAATATTGTGAGAATTACCAAAAGGTGACACAGAGGCAGGAAGCAAGCAGTGCCCCTGGAGAACAGGGCCAGTAGACTTATCCCAGAGTCACTACAAACCTTCCACTTGTCAAAAAGCCAGTATCTTTAAGGCTCAGTATAGTGAAGCACATTCAAGTGAGTATGTCTATATAATGCCACAGTGATCATCAGTGTGGTTTTGTTGAAAGAGCAGACACATGAATGAAAATGAGAAAATGATTTCTTGATTCTTGATTGCTACTTCAGACAGAAAAGTAATTAATATAATATGGAATGTAAAAGTCCATGCCCTAACGCTGCTGGGAAAATGTAGGGAGATATCTTTGTGACCTTCAGGTAGGCCATTATGTTTCATGAAAGATACAGACAGGAATAAGCATATACAATAAAAATGACAAAAAATAATGGAAAATTAAATTTTATCAACATTTCAAACTGCATGCCTAAGAAAACTTTGGCATACACAGATGGAGTAAAAATGTAACACATGTAGCTAGCAAAGGCTTATATACACATTCTATTTTTCAAACTCCTGCAGTATAATAATATAGAGACATAACAAGAGAAAAATGGGCCAAGGACTTGAGCAGATACATTACAAAATAAGATATGCAAATGGACAATAAAATAAGAGAAATGCAAAATAAAATGCAAATAATAAGATACCACTACACACTCAATATAATGCCCAAAAATATATATATATTTAACCATCAAATATTTGAATAATGTAGAGCACCAAAGCTCTCACACACTGCCAGAGTGGAAGAGAGAGGTCTGTAAAGATATGCTCATTTTGGATGTTTGGTAGCTGAACAAGTAAATTCTATTTCCATTCTGTGACTCAGCAGGCCCACTTCCATATAGTTGTAACCAGGACAAGAATGCTCATAGCAGTTCAGTCTATGATAACAAGAGACTGGAAGCAGCCCTGTTGCCTATGAACAGCAGACTTAATTATCAAACTATACTATATTCATATAATGAAATATTGCACAGCAATATAAATAAACAGATTACTGAAATATATAACAAGTGATTCTATATAATGGAATAAACCAGACATAAAAGAGTAAATACAGTTAATTCCACTGTATACAGTTTTAAAGAAAACAAATACAATATATGAGGATAAGATGTAAAATCAATGGTTGTTTCTGGCAATGTCATTTATTGGGAAGAGGCAAAGAAGAACCATTCTGTGATTTAAAGGACCCAGAGACACAGAAGAAGGGTTCAGACTGACAAACCTCAGAGGTGGGGATTGGGGGAGGGAAGAGATGAAACAAAGAACTTATGCATGTAAGCATAACCAATGGTCACAGACAACAATGCTGTGGGGGAGGGAGAGGGGAACAAGAGGAGGGTGTCAATAGGAGGAAAAGTTGAAACATCTGTAACCAAAATAAATTAATTTTAAAAATTCTTTAAAAAGAAATAAAAATAAAAAGTAAAGGATATGGAGTAAGCAAATGTGTATTTGTTAGAACTGTTCCAACTATTCATCTAAGTAAACATCTTTGCATGTTATGTTATGCAAATTATGCCTGAGTTAAAAATATCTTCTTGATAGCTTTAGCAAAACATTAGAAAATATACAGTTAATTTTATAATATGCAAATGCTATAAATATTTTGTTGTTGTTAATCCTCACCCGAGGTGGCCTCCCACACTACCCCAAACAGGGCCAGGGATCGAACCTGCAACTCAGGTACATGCCCTTGACTGGAAATTCCACCTGCGACACTTTGGTCCTCAGGCCAATACTCTTGACTGCTGAGCAAAACTGGCCAGGGTGATACAGACATTTTTAAGTTGCTCTTATAAAAATTAATACATTTCCCTACAGACTGGTGCTTCTTTCATTCTCTGTATTTCCATCCAGACAGCTTAAGTGTAAATGCTTTTTAGTGAGTCCAGTAGCCAAGTAAGTGTCTATCATTCCCTAGTTAGAGAAAATATATCCAACCATCATTAATAATAATACTTATTAAAGATACACAATGCATGCATTTGACATGATATTTTTAAAATAATGCTTCTCAATTAAAGATAGGAAAATATAAATGAAATGACTACATTCTGAAATAAAAATAGCATTCTTTCTTTTTGCATAAGGATTAATAGAATACTTTGTGATATAAAATGTTTGTATTCAGGCAGAATTCCAAATTTTAGAAAGAAATGACTCATTAACGTACGGCAACCGTACGCATGAAGTAAACGAGATGATGCGGGCACGGTACGGTTCTCACAAATGCTTACATGCGCAATCTTCGTTCAGCGGGAGTTTGAGGAAAGCTGGTGCTCTTTTTAAAAAAGACACTGTTAGGGTCACTTCTTCTCCCGCATTCCTAAGAACTTGAACCTAAAATTAAAAAGCATAAAATAATATTATCAGTGTGTTCACAATAGGTTTGTGATTGCAAAAATCTTGAAATGATGTGTGGTCTCCTCCACCTTTTGTTTTTCCCTGGTGGTCAGAAATATTTTATGAAAGACAGAAGGAATAAGTTATCTAACATTGAAGAAATACAGTCATAAATGCTCTTCCTTTTTCCACCATTCTGGGGTCCCCTGTTCACTACAATGTCATCATCCTCCATTCACATCTACTGAGGTTTTCTTGAGAATATGGTCTATATTAGGCAAATACGAAGGATCATGAGATTCACAGAAAAATGCAAGACTTAAACCACTATACTTATTAATTTAAAAATATTTATTGAGTATATATTATGCAACATTTTGAGATACACAAATAAATGACCCCATGGATTCTGTCCAGAGTGTTAATTTTATATAAATAAAGTTACTCCATTCACTCAAACTCTGCAAAAAATAGTTATTAGTTTCTGATTATACTATTGCACATTTTATTTTCCTTTTTCTGAAAACATAAAATAATAATGAACAGTATTATTATCAATAACTGTCAACATTTTCCAAATCATGAAATTAATATGTCTCAATCTACCAGTTAAAATAATGGCAATTCATTAAAATTTTTTCTAAGAAAGGTGTAAGAAATATTAAAAGAAATACAAAAAGAATTTATTTAAAGCAAACATACCTGGAAAAGATATAGTATATTTAAAATTAAAAATCTCTCATATAAGAGATGTGTTACCGGAGAATTGTGTAGATTGCCTTTTTCCATTGCTAGTGACAGTGGGGTTCTTAAAATATCTTCAGAAAGAGAATTTTCTTGCATTTGCACAGGAGAATGAGTGATCTTTACTTGTGTGGAGTTATATCCCTTGGTCCCTACAGTTCCAGTTCCCTTAAACCAGTATTGGAAGGTGTGCAGCTGGGCTTCAGCAGAGCTAGAAGCAAAGCCAGTGTCCAGAGTTCCCATTCCATGGTGGAGTTAAGTCTGGTGTAACATCAGGCTAATCAGAGTCCATCAGTCCATTGTGTGTGGGGTCCACATGGCCATGAGCTGGCGAATGAAACCGCAGGCGAATGAAAACCCTGCCAGCCAGGAGTCAGGAGTCAGGTGTGAGCAGAAGGAGAGCAAGGGGAACTCCTTTTGTTTAGGAGTTAAGGATCTCACATGTCCTCCCTTTGCAGTGGCCACGCCTATTCTGGCCAATGACTTGCTCTCAGGTGTGATTGACAGGCAAGCACTTTCCATGTCACCCAGACTTAATGGACATGTGTCCAGTCCCTTTCCCCCCTGATCTGTGGGGAACAGACTTGGAAAATGTTAAACAGCAGCTTCCTGGCACAAACATCATGCTGTTTCCTAGTCTCCCCTTAGTTCCTTCCCAGTCCATTATATCAGTGAACATAGAACGTATTGCATAACCCACGACACAGACAGCATTGTGATGATGGCCGGAGGGAAGGGCAGGGGCAAGAGCTGGGTGGAAGTGGGCAAAGGTGGGGGGAAATGGGGACACCTATAGTAGCGTAAATTATGAAAATAAAGTTATAAAGACAGAATAGTTAGTGAAGCAGTTGTTATGAAACATGTAGAAAAGATGCTCAACTCATATTATTTATTTATTTATTTATTTAATCCTCACCCGAGGACACTTTTTTTGCATTTATCTTTAGACAGAATGGGAAGGAAAGAGGAGGAAAGACAGAGGGAAAACCATCGATGTGAGAGAGACACATCGATGGTTGCCGCCCACACGACCCCAACCAGGGCCAGGACAAAACTGCAACCGAGTATGTGCCCTTAGCGAGAACCAAACCCAGGTCTCTCTGGACCATGGGCCAATGCTCTAACTGCTGAGCCAAACCAGCCAGGGTTCAACCCAAATTATCAAATAATTGGATATCAAAATAATTTACAATAAATTTTGGTCCCAAGAAGATGACATAGATTCATCTCTCCTTGTTTCTCCCTAATAAGTACAATTATAAACAATGAGGGAAAAATGCAAGAGACAACTAAAGTAGAAATCTAAAAGGCAGAATAAAAAATTTTAAAAAGAATTGGTTATGGACCCCAGGACTGGAGGACCATGAGAGAGGAGGAATACGTTAAAGGCGTTTCACCAGCAGAGGATCCTCTGCCCACCGCCAGGTAAAGCCTCCCTTGTCCACCTGTGGCACCAGGGAAAGCTCTTCCCCACCTCAGACAGCACAGCGGGGAATAATAGGAGCCCTGGAACACAAGGGAAGTAACTCAGATCAAAGTAGCAACAAAGAGCCCTTAAGAATCACATTGACAATAGAACCAGAGCCACAGAATTAGGCTAGTGTAAGTGTGCTAAAAAGAGCAAATTCATGCTAAAAAGAAACAAAAATCTTAAATAAAACCAAGAGTCTCTTAACATAAGCAAAATGGCCAGGATACAATAACATAACACAAAACAACACATAACACATAAAAACCAGGAAAATCATAATTTGAATGAGAAAAGATAATGAACTAACATCAACTAGATGAATCACATATTGAAATTATCCTCCAAGGATTTTAAAGCCACTTTAATAAAATATTTCAACAGAAAATACAAATTCTCTCTTGAACCAAAGAAAATGCATAATAATTGAAAGAAGAAATGAAATTGTCATTATTTAGAGGTAATATGATTTGAAACACAGAAAATCCTGAAGAATTTATAGGCATTATTACATGAAACATTAACAGGTAAGCCAGTAAGCAAGTTTAGTATGAAATAGAGTAGACACAAAGTTAAAATACAAAAATCAACTGGTTTTGATTTAATATCAATAAACAAATATAACAGCCATAACATCAATTTTTGTTTTAATGAATGGATATATTGTCATGGATTGCTAGACATCGTATTGTAAAGATATGAACTCTCTTACTTTTATGTAGATTCGAGACAATCTCATTCAAAGCTTTAGGTGTTTTATTCAGTTTTTATGTTGGTATGAACTTATGTATTTGTTTGCACTGACTTTCAATATCGCTGTGATCACTGTTACAGAACTATATTGGGAGTTCACTGAAACATGGAGCAGAAGAATGCAGTGAGTGAATGCTCATATTTAACAGTAAGTATACAATAGCTGATACCGAGAGTTAAATAATAAAGAAATAATAGCGTGAGCATCTTCAGGGTAGGCATAACAATACATTAGACATGCATAAGTTAAATGTGGTTAACTAGTTTGGTTAACTAGACAATGGGCAACTACTTTGAATTCAAATTTTACATTTGTATTTCATTCTTGAAGTTTTTAACAAGAGTAACTGAGAAAATTAAAAACTTTTTAAAAAATATAAAATCCCACCATGGAGAGATCATTTTGTTTTGTTTGCAATTAAAGATCAATTATGGATTTCTTTCTGAGTAATCACAACTTTAAATCCTTGATAAACATTTTTAATCAATGCAGGAATTTTCATCTTTTCAGGGAACATGATTAAGATATTATGTTTTAATTATTTTTCAGGGTTCTTACCATGCTGTGAATGCATATTTCATCCACCTGATACTGTCATGTTAGAAAATATAGGTTTTACACCATGAATCATGATAAATGTCATCTTCCTGCAAAATTAGACACCTGCACCTATGAATCCCATTGTATTTTTCATTTTCATTCACATTTTATAATGCAAATCAAATGCTGTGCATTTTAATCAGATAATGTATGAGCACAGTTATTGCCTTGGATGAGTACATGAGCATGGGCAGAGACTGGTAAATGATGGCAATCAGGAGAACAGAAAGGAGAAATTGAATTAAAGGGGATATTTATAAATTTACTCCATTGACACAACTAACAACTCAGTTCATGAACGGATTATGCTTAAGCTCCATTCACCAGTTAAACAGGAAACTTCATAAACTCATTTTATACCTTTTGTCTGTTTTTCCTTCTACTTGGAGGCTATTCTATCTGATATGAGATTTTAAGAGGGATTTAGCTATCTGCTACTGCTTTGGAATATAATCAGAAATGCTCCTAGCTTGGGATTGTTTTCTCTGCCTGTGCATAGTTTTAAATTTCTCCCTGGAAAGAAACTGTATACACACACACACACACACACACACACACACACACACACTTTATTTTTATGGGAAAGTTTTATGTTCACAGTAATATTGAGGAAAAAGTGTAGAGATTTCCCAGAACCTCTGCCCCTGTAACCCTGATTTCACTTTTCAACTAAGTGATAAATGATGTGTATTCTGTTTTCTTAGAGTGTGTAGATAAAGCCCTGCCTTTTCATTTCTGATCTAGCCCTTTTTTACAGCCTAGAAAAGTCTGCTCCAAGGGAGAAAGGGCTGCTCGGAACCAGCTGTGAGGATCCGGAGGCTTCCGCAGTGAATCTACAAACTCTTGCTTGAAGAGAGAGAGCACTGGAATGGGGGAAGGAGAGGAGCTGCAGATGCAGCCCTTCAGCCCCCTTCCTTTCCCGGCTCCCCCTTCTCAAGAGCAGCTGTGCTTGCAATTCCCTCCCCGTGATGTCCTGGTGCTGCTTCCCTTCTCCACCCTTATAAAACCCTCCACATGCATTTAGACTGTTGAGATGGGTTTCTGAAGACACAAGTACCCCCATCTTCGTGAGATGCTGACACTCAAACCTCATTCCTTTTCACCAGCACGAGTCTAGCTTTTGTTGTGATAGGCAACCAAACCTGTTGGCTGGGGTTCAGTTACCCCCACATGTGTATAGCCTCCTCCAGGATCACAACCCCTAGCAAAGTGATACATGTTAAATTTGGTGAACTGATACAAACACACCATTATCATATCATACATAGTATTTTCATTACCCAAAAAATCCTCATGTCTGTCAGTCCATCCCTCTCCTTCACACCATTATAGAGAATTGTTTTTAATTGATGAAGAGGGGGCTTCTGCTTTGCCTGGACACACTTGAAACACACACAGGAATCTCTCACACACATATACACAAACACATTT